CAAGATGGGCCAACAGGCGTCCAAGACGGCCCAAGAGGGTTCCGAAAACGGCCCCAATAGCGTTCCAGGAGCGCTCCGAGTTGCCTCCACGAAGCTCCACGTGGTCCCAGACGGTCCAAGAGCGCTCCGAAACATCGACGACGACCTCCCGACGGCTCACGAGGCCTCCCAAGACGCCCCCACAGGCATCCAAAATTCCCCCCAAGAGGCCCTCTAGACGCAAAAAAACCTTCGTTTCTTTCGTCAAACGTATATATTTTCACACGTGCGCGTTTGGGGGTGTCCCCCGCTCCTGCACGGCCCCAGAGCCCCCCAAACCCGCTCCCAGACGGCCCAAGACGCCTCCAAGAGGGTTCCTACATAGGCCTCGAGGGCCCCAAGGCGGGGCAACTCACGTCCAAGACGGCCCAGAAGGGCTCCGAAAACGGCCCCGAGAGCGCTCCAGGAACGGTCCGAGTGGCCTCGACGAGAGGTCCACATGGTCCTCGACGGTCCAAGGGCGATCCAAAACGCTGACGACGGCCTCCAAACGGCTGAAGAGGCCCCCAAGACGCCCCAAGAGGCATCCACGATGCGCCCCTAGAGGGCCTCTAGACGCAAAAAACCCCTTCGTTTCCATCGTCAAACGTGGACTGTTTCACACGTGCGCCCTTTGGGGTGTCCCCCGCTCCTGGACACCCAAACCCGCTCCCAGACGGTCCAATACGCCTCCAAGAGGGTTCCCACAGAGCCCTCGAGGGCCCCAAGGCGGGGCAACTCACGTCCAAGACGGCCCAGAAGGGCTCCGAAAACGGCCCCGAGAGCGCTCCAGGAACGGTCCGAGTGGCCTCGACGAGAGGTCCACATGGTCCTCGACGGTCCAAGGGCGATCCAAAACGCTGACGACGGCCTCCAAACGGCTGAAGAGGCCCCCAAGACGCCCCAAGAGGCATCCACGATGCGCCCCTAGAGGGCCTCTAGACGCAAAAAACCCCTTCGTTTCCATCGTCAAACGTGGACTGTTTCACACGTGCGCCCTTTGGGGTGTCCCCCGCTCCTGGACACCCAAACCCGCTCCCAGACGGTCCAATACGCCTCCTAGAGGGTTCCCACAGAGCCCTCGAGGGCCCCAAGGCGGGGCAACTCACGTCCAAGACGGCCCAGAAGGGCTCCGAAAACGGCCCCGAGAGCGCTCCAGGAGCGGTCCGAGTGGCCTCGACGAGAGGTCCACATGGTCCTCGACGGTCCAAGGGCGATCCAAAACGCTGACGACGGCCTCCAGACGGCTGAAGAGGCCCCCAAGACGCCCCAAGAAGCTTCACGATGCGCCCCTAGAGGGCCTCTAGCCGTATTAAATCGCCCGCTCCCTTCGTGAAGCGTATATGCTTTCGTACGCGCGCCTTTTGGGGTGCCCCCTGCTCCTGGGCGGCCCGAGAGCCTCCCAAGACCGCGCCAAGACGATCCAAGAAGCCTCCACGAGGGCCCCGCGACAGGCCAAGAGGGCGCCCAGACGGGTCAAGAGAGGCCGAGGACGGCCCAAGAGAGCCCCAAAGACGACGCGCGCGCGACTCGCGGTTAGATTCCTCGCAACTTGCGTTGCTTCCCGCCGTGCTCGCCACTTGCCTCCGCAGGGCGTTTCGGCGGGTCTCTCCGCGGCGCCCGCCCCGCCTTATAGCACTTGGCGCAAGCCGCCAGACTGCCCCGGTGGAAATAATTCTTCTCCTGGGCTATCGACAGATGGCCGCCGTCAGTGAACGCAGGCTTTGATCCGTCCTTCTTCAGGGGACATGCGGAACATTCCAACTTCTTCGCCACCTGCCTTTGCTCGTGGCGCGCTCGGCATACCACCGAGCGATGCTCCGAGCCCATCGCGAAGAAGTGCTCCACCTGCTTATCTGTCAGATGCGTCCTGCCCGCGATTTCTCTTTCTTTTCCATCTGCTTCTTTCGGGCACGCGGAGCGCGCGAGCACTCGCGGCCGATTGCGTTCTTCCCGGCACGCGCGGCACATGACTGGGCGATGGTCCGAGCCCTTCGCGAAGACATGCTTCACTTGCTTATATGTTAGGTGCGTCCTGTCCGTGAATTCTCGCCCTTTCCTGTGCACGCGGCGCGCCTGAACACCCGCGATCGCTTGTGGCGCGCGTCGCAGTCGCGGCATTTCACTGGCCTATGGGCTGCGCCCGTTTTACAATAGCGTTTGATTTGTAATGTTGTCAGATGCGCCGCGCCCGTGAATTCCCGCCCCCTTTCCGCCTGCGTCTTTCGGGCACTCCGAACACCTCGGCGGCGGTTCCTGGCGCGCGCTTTGTCGAGCAGTGTTCGTTGCATTCATCCACTCCGTTTTCTTCTGCGATTGGCTCCACTTGTTCCAGCCGCCTTTCCGCTTCCCTGCGCATTTATTGCAGGGCTTCTCCCCTGCGCCCTTCGTCGCGCGCTGGTTCGCCGCGATTTCTGCCTCTGTCTTAAGGAATTCACAGCAGTCCGCGCAACGGATCTTGAATTTGTCTCGCACATTCTCC